ATTGATAATAGAGTGCTCATTCCTAGGCCAAACCCCCTTTCAATGATTTTATTTTTGCAAATTTGATAGTTTATTGATTGTGTAATTTCACTCGTATTATATCTATATCTTTCTTTCTCAGCGATTCAGTATGGTGTTGACGATCAGCAAAACACTCTGCAGTTTTTCTCCGTTAGTTGGCTTCCTATAAAACATATCTTCTTCAAGGCCACTCAAGATTCCTTCCTCTAGAACGTTACGTATTCGGTGATTCGCTTTTCAGCTTCCGTTGAGGTCGTGGTCCAGGGGTCTCTTTGTCGTTTTCCAGACTCTGGGATATAAGGCCCCAAGCACCCATTCATGGACTAGCACCCTTTTCTTTTTGTTGCGTATCTTAAGTTTAGTTATTTTGGGTGCTACGTCTTCCATTTTTTATGGGATTTTGACCCTCAGCAGTAAGTCCTTTTTTTATATATCTTCAGACAGCCTTAATGCGTGTCCTGATGACGTTCATTGAATATCTGCTTTCTTTTTGTCAATAGAAACAGAAGAAAGTCCTCGTCTTTTCTCCCCCAGTCAGTGGCATCGTTGCAGTTTTGCAAATTGGAAGCCATCCCGTTGAAAAACCCTGATGTCAACAGGTAAAATATCATTCTAATTAACAATTTCGTAGATCTATATACATTTATTATTGCTTATTGAAATTCTTAGAGACTTCTTGATTTTATTAGACATTCTACGTATTCATATATGGGGGCAATGCCTACATGGCACCTTCTATTACATTGATCATGATTTTGATTTTTGAGCTGCCGTAACTTTTTAGAACAAGGGTATATTAGTTTAGTACAGTTTTATCTTTTTTTTGCATTTGCTTTACTTTTCTTATACGAAAAAAATGTACATGGTTTCTCTTCAAGTGCGATTGTTTTTAATCAGTAGTTTTATCTCAGACAGAGAGTAGAGTAGATTTTTAAACAGTTTTTCTCTCTCTAGGGTTTTTTTTCCTGTTACCATCATAATTTTTGGGACCGAGGCAAGCAGCCCCTGCCCAGTGACGTGCCCACTACTGGTTTCCTTTTTTTTGTTCTTTTTGACCTGGGATACATCTCGGCTGTGCCTAGCCATAACTGAGAGAAGACCTCCGCCCAGATAAGCCTAGTTTAGGCGTAAAACATATAATATGTAAAGCGTATACCATGGTAAACGCCAACTAATTTTATTTTGCAACCGTTTTTTTTTTAATATCCTTTCTCGCACTCCAGTGGTGGAGCATATGTGCGTTTTGTTCTTTTTAATCAATATATTGTGATCCATTTGATATCTTGTTAATTTGGCTTTCTCTCTCTGTGTGTGTCCTGTTATTTAATTTTCGTCATCTCTGTTAGATTCTCCTTTTGTGTGGTGGTCAAGCAAAACTAGTTCCGACTAGCATCTCGGGGAGTTGTGGCGTAATCCGTCCTAAGTCACTGGCGCTCTTAATCCGCCCCTACTCTCCGCTTTATTGAGCTAGGGCCTAAATTTGCACGCCACTAGACAACTGTTATGCTTGGACCAACCGTTATATAGCATTTATCATTGTGTTTTATTAATTAACCAAAAAAAGGCATGGCATCATTTACAAAACATTTATAATGCCAATTCTTGAATTTGCTGGCTCTATATGGCCATAATCTCTGATCGAAAAATTCGAGGCGGTCTCATAGTTACTTTTAAAATACTCCACGACTTGATTGGTACCGACCTGAAGCACCTATACCAACTGTCACGCAGTAGTCTCCGCGGTCACAGCTTTAAGCTGCAAAAGGAGCCGTTTAGAACAACAGTCAGGCAGTGTTTTCTCCCCAATCGCATATTCAACACTTGGAACAGTTTACCAGAAAGTGAGGTTAATAAGAGTGAACAACCTTTATAGCTATGAACTTTTTGTTTTTATTTTATGTATTTTACTCCCACTTATTCGTCGACTACGTTTTCCTTTTGTGCATGAGCTTACAGTATAGTATAGTAGGTTATTTCTATTTTAATAGAAATAATAATAATAATAATAACAACAACAATAGACATAAGTAGATGATCAAACGTTAAGGGGTGATTAATTGAATGATCCTAAGAAAAAATATCCATACAAACATAGATCCAGAAATCAAGATACAGGGTATGGGGACTTTATATGCTACTAACGAGACTAATTAAGGACGAAACACGAATATCCATTCAATCGCCGCGAATTAATCTTAACGAATTTGCAGAGGTCAACAGTCCCAGTTTATACGCTAATGATAGTGTAGCCTGGGCCGCGAAAGTTTCTTTGCGCATTGATTATGTTGTCAGTAGTGCATGTACAAAATTTTAAATCGACAACCCTATCCACTCTGGAGATATATATTTTTTTTCTATTTCGAAATGTCAGCTTCAGCTATATAAGCTTAATTATGTTCCGTCCTCGTCGAAGTAAATATTTAGAATACATATCGTAGTACCCTCGTTAGTTGTACCAAACCCCATGATTTCAAAGCGCGCACGCAGCGAAATATGCGACACCGCGCACGTTCCGCCTACCTTCCTCCCCTCTGGCGGCCAATAAACATTCCTTCGTGCCAAACCGTTAAAACGTCAACCGGCGCGAATCTTTTCTACCTTTTCAGCAGTGTCGAGGAACCGCTGAACATTTAGAATTAGAGAACAGGACAGAAGGCTGACCGATAGATGTGCATTGTCGAACGAGATACCGACCGACGATCGCCTGAGGGTTTGTTCGCCGAGCAGCAAAATTAGAAAGTGGCGTGCAGGCCTATTTTTCTGAAGGAGCGTCACTATCAGGTAACTCGACTAACCGATCTGTTTTAGGTGCAAGTTAAATGAACACTAGTATGGATGACTCACCGGCGGTGCAAACTGTGCCTACCATGACGTTTGGGATAACTTTCTGAGAATGTTGCTTGGGATATCAACCTGGACCCAGCTTGTGATAGCCAACTCCAGACCTAGGACGAACAAAGACGTTTGGGATAACGCTGAAACATTAGACTCGGTTGCTTGGGATAGCAACGTGGACCTAGCTTGGGATAGTCAGCTGCACAGCAAGGACGAATAAAGATGTTTGGGATAATGACTCAATACTGAACTCCGTTGCACAAATAACAACACTGAAAGCATTTGGGACAACGTAGCAAAAACTTATGGTCAACAATGTGTTCTCAATTGCTTGTGATAGCAAATTTCATCTGGTTTGTGATAACCATGGAACAGGACTGTAAGTTTGAACATGGTAGGTTAGGAAGTCGTTAAGATATATGTTTTCCTTATTACCAGATAGAGATTAGGTATCTTATGCGAGGTTAGAGTTACATTTTGCTTGTGATGGTAAATTCCATCTGGTTTGTGATAACCTTGGAGCAGCATAATATGATTGCACCAGACAGTTTAGGGAACCGCCAAAGTACCATTTTTCATTAATAACACATAGAGATCAGGTTCATCTATCCGAGACTCGCGTTACACTTGGTTTGAGATAGCAAATTCCATCTGCTTTGTGATAGCAATGTGGCGATATAGCATTTTTGATTTATAACAGATAAAAATTGGGTACATCTATGTGAGACCAGTTCGTTTGCGACCTTCATTGACGAAAGATCGTACGGAGCGCTCGGTACAGAATTGTGTTATACACATAAATATACTAAGTGACATATAAATCCGAACATCCAGTTTAAATGGTTTTATTTCAATAAAAGTTGGTGAATGTATTTATCTTACTGTAAATAACAAGTGAAAAAATGTTCAGCCTTATCAGTTGGACATTCCGGTTTTTATACTGCTTTTTTTTAATTCACTAACGCTCTAAAAATGAATATTTCAGCCGCAGTAAAGAATCAACGTTGGCGGATTTTGGTTTTGGTGAGTTTGATAGGGGCCGTATAGTGGGACTTCGGGAAGCTGGACTTTCTTTTCGGGCAATTACAGTTAGAGTTCAAAGAAGTGTAGACACTGTGGTTAGGTGTTGTCAGACATGGCTTCGCGAAGGCCGTACGCAAAGAGCAAGGGGCACTGGCCGCCGCCGTAGAACAACAGACCGTGAAGATCGCCGCCTTAGATTATTGGCCTTAAAGGACCGTTTCTCCACTACCAGGTCTATTGCAAATGAATGGTTTGCAGAACACGGAAGACCTATTGGCATGCGAAGTGTTTACCGACGAATGAGAAGTTTTGGCTTGTTTTCATACCGGCCACACTGGGTCCTCCCTTTAACTCGAGAACACCGACGTAATCGCCTTGAGTGGTGCAGACAACGGTCACTCTGGGATCAGGAATGGAACAGTATTGTCTTTAGTGACGAGTCTCGATTTTGTTTAGGCATCCACGATGGTCGTGCCAGGGTTAGAAGGCGACGTGGTGAAAGGAGGAATCCACAGTTTTTTGTTGAAAGACATGTTCATCACACTGTTGGAGTTATGGTTTGGGGTGCTATAGCTTATGGTTCCAGGTCACCTTTATTCTTCATCAGAGGTAACATGAACGCGCAGCGTTATATCCACGAAGTTCTAGAACCCCATCTTTTACCCTATCTTGACACCCTGGCACATCCAACTTTCCAACAAGATAATGCCTGACCACATGTTGCAAGAGTCACAATAGACTTCTTCAAAATAGTGATGTCACATTGTTTCCACTGCCACCAAGATCTCCCGACTTATCCCCAATTGAGCACGTGTGGGATATGATGGGTAGGAGATTGCTCAATTTGCATCGTCCTCCTCAGACTCTAGAAGCACTTCGAGAGGAGTTGGTGGTTGCCTGGAATGAGATACCACAGGAGGACATTGACCACCTGATCAGAAGCATGCCTAGGCGCGTTGGAGAATGCGTAGCACATGAGGGTGCATCCACACATTATTAAAGTTCAAAGGGCTTTAAAGCAGTGCAATCATTTTGAAATTTTTATCATTTACTTATTATGCTTCATTAGGTACTTTTACAAAATTTTATTAGAATAAAACCATTTAAACTGGGTGTTCGGATTTATATGTCACTTAGTATACATAGGAAAAAATCCTTCCTTTTTTCTTCAACCGTTTGTGCAACTGGACATAATAACCATCATACAGTTTGGAGTGTAATGACCACGAATAACGATCCCCCTAATGGGGGATCAACTGATAGGGACATCTCCCCCATAGGAGGAGGCAGCAACAATGGAGTAGACAACCGTCAAGGAGTTATCCTGAATACAAGCATCGCAACCGACACTATGCCAGGTAAGTGCACTGTTTTTAATTTGCAAAAACCTAAGCAATATTCAGATTCGATTTATGTATTTGTTGAGAAAATAAATACTGAAAATATTGGTACGCTACACCCAATGGCCTTAGTCCACATTCTTCATAAAAAACTCAACATTCCAAACATTGTCGACATCGAAAAAGTAGGTAGAAATAGAATCAAGGTTCAGCTAAAAAGTTTGAAGGACGGGAATCGTCTAGTTACTAACCAGCCACTAAAAAATGAAAATTTAAGAGCATTTATCCCCATTTATTAACTATTTAGGAAAGCAGTGATAAAGAATGTTGATACTAGTTTTGACGAAAATATTTATTTGAAAACTTTTTGTCTCCTGTAACTATTATTGAGGTAAAACTATTAAAACGTAAGGTAAAAATTGATGGTCAGGCCGCCTATGTTCCCAAGCAATCTATTATAGTGACCTTTGCAGGCAACATTTTACCCTCCTACATTTCTTTAAACAGTGTCATTTGCGAAGTAGAACCGTTTATATACAGAGTGGTCCAATGTTACAAGTGTTTGAGATATGGGCATGTTGCAAAACAATGCAAAATTTAATCGCTCCTATGCATTAATTGCGGCAAAATAAAGGATCCGGAGCACAATTGCAGGGATCCCCAGGATAACTGTTGTGTTTATTTTAAGAACAACGATCACAAGTCAACATCCAAAAATTGTCCATCTTATATGGAGCAGGAAACAATTAAAAAAATCATGGCCGAACAAAATCTGACGTTCCTGGAGGCTAAAAGAAAACACGGTGATACATATTCCTCCTTACTAAATTCAAAAAATCGTTTCGAAGTGTTAGGTCAAATGCCCAATACAGAATTTCCTCCTTTCCCTCCAAAAGAAGCCTGACACAGCCGATCAGCAAAAACCTCACTGTCGCAATCAACAAATTCTTTTCATACAGTCACGCAGCGAATAGCTAGACCCCTATCTCAGCAAGAAAGGCCAGACAAAAAACAAAAATTTGTATCCCCTGTTAATGATTCCCACATTCCCCCCATGTTCCCTTTTTCATTTGGTCCGAGTAACCCTTAGAGAATCAGACACAACAGAAATCCCTGTTGAGAGGTTTCTGGGGGCGCTATCCAAAACATTACAATTTATACTAAGTAATGTAAAATCATTTGAGGAATTGACTGATATTGATATTACTTATGTGAAGAATATCTTTAAAGATAGCTATCCTCCAAATGAAGAGCCCAGTGGCCAAGATGAATACTAAATTGAAAATCATACAGTGGAATGCTAGATCTGCAGTTGCAAACAAACACAGCCTTGATCAATTTTTGTACAATAACGACATAGATATTGCCCTGATTTCTGAAACCTGGTTTAAACCAGATTTTAATGTGATATTCAAAGGATACTCTATTATTAGGAGTGGCAGACATGACGGAAAGACCGAAGTTGCGATATTTGCTCGAAAAACTCTGAAATTTAAATAACATGTAGACCTCGCCCTAATGACATGCAAGTATGCGGTGCAGAGGTGCAAGTCGCAGATTTGCTTCGCCTGTCTCTTCTATATATGTGCACATATCCGCACGAATGAATGGATTGATTTGCTATCTCCTTTCGGTCAGTATGCAATTGTAGGAGGCGATTTCAATGCCCACCATAGTTTGTGGGGCTCCTACATGCAGGACCGTAATGGGTTCTACCTTGTGGAAGCACTAAACTCAATAAACTTAGTACTGATGAATGATGGGTCATCTACTAGATTGCATAAGAATGGTCTAAATTCAGTTGTAGATTTAACCTTTTCTTCCCCGGACCTAGCTAACATTATTGTATGAAAAACCCATGTTGATACCCTAGGATCAGATCATTACCCTATCCTCCTAGAGATGAATTCACCCACATCACATTCCGCTTATGAAATAACTCCAAAATACACATGGAATACCCACAAAGCTAATTGGGATCATTTTCATGCACTTGCCGACAATTATTTTTCAAACTCCCATCCGCATTTCCAGGATATAAATGACAAATATCAGTTTGTTATTCAAGGCATTAATGAGTCCGCCCATAGCTCAACCCCTCGATATAAGCCCTTCACACGACAAAATAAGACACCTGGTGGGATCGAGAATGCGATGAAGAAATTAATAAACGAAAAAATGCCCTTGCACAGTACAAGCAGATACCCAGCAAAGCCAAATACATTGCTTGTAAGAGAGCAATAGCACACAAAAAGACTATTAAAAAGCAAAGTAAAAACGCATGGGAAAAAATTCTGTTACAATTTAAATAAAAACACCCCAAGCTTTGGTCTCAGGCTAAGAAAATGCAGAGAATGCAAGTCACTCATAGAAAATGCAATAACTTGGATTGGGAAGCAAATTTCCTAGACAAAATGGCTCCACCTTCGACCACACCAGTCTTTTCAAAGATTCACCGTAGTCAAAATCTTGAACCCCTGACTAACAATATTTTCAGTCATCCCATTACTGTCACTGAACTTGAATATGCGCTAAAGAACTCAAACTATTCGTCTCCTGGCTGGGTCAACATAACATACTCAATGTTATTTCACTTACCTTTGAATGCAAAGCAGCTATTACTAGAACTTTACGATGAGGTATGGTTAGAAAACGGAGATATTGAAGACTGGCGAGAAATAATTGTTGTGGCCGTACTCAAACTGGGCAGAGATCCAAATTTATGTTAATCATACAGAACAATATCCTTATTATCGTGCATCCTTAAGACCCTTGAAAGAATCATAAAGCACCGACTAGAATGGTTTCTCTACGCAAGAAATGTATTCCCGAAGCCACAATTTGGTTTCAAAAAAGGATATGGTACCTTAGATGCTGTAGGGAATGTAGTCACAGATATCCAAAACTGCTTCTCAAGGAATGAATACCTGGGATAGAAAGGAGATCTACGACAGCTTGGCTAAATTTGTCCATTCAATCAATGTACACCTATAATCACCTCACATACCCTTGTTGCCTCCCTATTTGTTATATCCCTCCTCTTACCGTGGTCTACCTGTGCACGTGTAAGAAGTCGCCCTGACCAACCCCTGAGGCGTGATGAAGTGTCCTCTGTGAAGATCCCGAGCATCATCCCACTTTAACAGTAGACTTCCAGTTTGGAAAGACATGAATCCAAAATCAAACCGCTGATCCATTATTCATATAATGCCTAGTGACTGGCTGCATGAACACCTAGTTCTAATGCCAAAAAAAAAATCTATGTGAAACTAGGGGTACATTTGCTTGGGATAGTAAATTCCATCTGGTTTGTGTTAACTATGGAACAATATTGTAAGGATGCACATGAGAAATTAGGAAGAGGCCGAAGTACCATTTTTCATTAATGAAAGACAGGGATAAGGTACATCTATGCGAGACTAGCGTACATTTTGCTTGTGATAGCAAATTCCACGTGGTTTGTGATAGCCATGGAACAGGTGTGTAAGTATGAACATGTCATGTTAGAAAACAGCCAATGTATATCTTTTTCTTATCGCCAGATAAAGAATAGGCATCTTGTGTGAGCGTTACATTTTGCCTGTGAAATTTCCGGTTTGTGATAACCTTGGAACAACTTTGTCAGAATTCACATGACAGCTTAGGAAGCCAATAAAGTACCATTTTTGGTTAATAACAGATAGAGATTAGGTTTTATCTATGTGAGAATACCGTTACATTCTGCTTGTGATAGTAAATTCCATATGGTTTGGAATAGCCATCGAACAGGTCAATAATATGCACATGTCAGGTTACGAAACAGCTGAAGTACTATTTTTCATTAACGACATATAAATTAGGTACATCTATGGTAGACTCGCGTTACATTTTGCCTGTGATAGCAAATTCCACCTGGCTGGTGATAACTATGGAACAGGACTGTAATACGTACATGACCGGTTAGGAAACGACCAATGTTCTAATGTTCAGTAATAACGGAGTTTAAATATCATTATACCCGATTAACGTTACATTTTGCATAGGTGGCACCCGAACAGCAGCATGTAGTCTGTCTCAATAGATGACGCATCACCACGATGATACGGCGACCTTAGTACAATTAATGTTCCGCGTTGTTCCATTCCAGGTCTTGTTGATGACGAGAGATGAATAAATTCTGTTCCATCCTAAGGTGATCCAGGTGAGGTAGCAGAAGCCATAATAGAAATTATCGCATGCAGGGATGCGTGCTTGGTTTGTGTACAGCAACATGTAAGCTGTTTATTAACTGCAAGTGGCAATACTCTATCCTCTAGGTTCAAAGAAGGGAGAGGGGCGCATGCTGGCAGATATTAATATTAGATCAAACAACTCAGGAGTACTCTGACAGAGGCTTCCATTGATATCTTGTTCTTCGGTGTAGGTCTGACCAAGTAAGTCAATTCTAAATAGAAATCAGATAAACAAGCGAACGCCAAAAGGTGAGACAACATCAGATATCACCCATTATTGATGTAGATGAGCTATGTAGAACAGCATGGACATTGACGCGTATTCATCATCAAAGCCAGAGCTTTAGGGGTGGCGCTAAAGTCCTGAGTTGGACTCAAGTGGTCACTTGTCATTCACATGGCGACTGGTTCAGTACCTTGCCATAGCTGAATCTCATTAGTCCATCTATGAACTACCGACTTTCGACAGTCTATCAATTGCTTAGCTGCGGTGCTACCAGCAACAAAACTGAGCTTACTAAAAATCAGGACCTATCCAACTGTTACTTGCCCCCAAGTCTGATGGGTCAACACGTTTGATTCCTTACCTCAAGACACTTGCCTGCTTATAGGGATAGAACACTTAAGTCTAGGCTGTTGATCTGGGATCAGACTTCTCCGTAGAGATACTTTCTTAACGAATCTGGATTTGGAATATGCAGATTTTTCTATCCGTCAGGGAGAGTCATAGAATATATTTCAGATTCATATTGAAGGGACAGCTCTTCCAATACAATGCTGTACCGTTTAGGGTAAATTGTGGCCCTCATGTGTTCACAAAGTTAATAAAACCATTTCTGGAATACCTTAAGAAACATTGAGCACTTTCAGTCTCAGTATTAAATTGTGACAGAACAAAAGTAACTTTACTTGAGCGAACGATGCAGATATTACTAAACCTAGTAATGTCAATAATGGACAGCAAGTAAGACAGAGTCAGAAACTTTGCGGTGAACATTGAGATCTTGGTGTCAGCTTGTGTCTGGGACATTAGTTGGCCAGGGAAAAGTCTCATAATTTTTGTTCACCCGAGAAGAAGATCCCGCATGCTAATCATCAAGAACCACTGGTAGTTTTCTTCTGTGGTGAATGCTTTGCTACCGAATTGATCGGTTGTCGCATATAATACCCCATCCTACATCAATAGGATGGAGAGCTTCTAGTTTCCACGTCTGGACCAGGTTGCGGGAAAGCTATGTAGAAAGAGAGAAATCTTACGGCCCCCGCGTCAAATATAAAATCTAGGAGTAATACTGGTACAGATGAGCTTTTGCGTCAGTGGGACGTGGAAACGGAGTGGGAGCTACACATGTCACCGTCTTGATTTTGATTCAACTATTCGGTGTTGCTGAAATATCACTAGAAGTAAAGCAAGGATCTTATGGCCGCTTGGCGCCATCTTGGAAAAAAGAATATATGAAAACGGGGGTGTTGTGGCACATCATTTTGAAGCTCCTGACGAGTACATTATAACCCTAGAATATAAAGTCAATACCTTTACCTAGTACAAAATGTTGGTACATTTAATAATTACTTGAACACAAACCCACTAACATGCATATCTCTACAAATAATTGTAATTCCCTGCCGTATCTACAGCAACAGTGATAAAAACCTGTTTTGTTATTTTTTGTTGACAGTTACAAGGATATCAGTACGAAAACAAGTATCATTGTACAGTTAAAATATTCTTATTTAGGTTTCGGTTTTAGTGCTAGATACTGTTTGAACTATTTTTAAAATGGTCAATTCCCGTCCATTGGAAGAAAAAATCGAAGCGATGTTGATTTATGGTGCGACGCGTAACTTTCACGAAACCGAAAGGATTTTTAATGATCATTTCCCGAATCGTCTTATCTGTGAAAAATATTTAAGGGAACTTGTATCTAAATTTACAGCTACTGGTAGTGTAAACAACAAAAAACCTCCAGGTCATCCGACCATCCCGGAAGAAAAGCAAGTTCAAATAACTGGTGAGATCATAGTAAATCCCCAACAGTCTACTTCCTCCATAGCGAATGTATGTGAGGTTTGTCCTTCTACTGTATGGAGACTTTTAAAAAAGAATAAGTATCACCCATACAAAATTCAAATGGTACAGCTAACTGAAGATAACCCTGGTCGAAGAACAGAATTCTGCGAGACTATGACAGAAACCATTGCACGGCATCCTACCTATATCCAAAATATTTGTTTTAGTGATGGATGTACATTTTTTCTCAACGGTAATGTGCATAGACAAAAATTGTCGTTACTTGAGTGACACCAATCCTCACGTCTTCCGGAAAACTAATACTCAATATCCACAAAAAATTTACGTTTGGGCTGGGATATTGGGAAGTCATATTGTTTGGCCTCTATTCATCGAACAAACTTTAACCGGGGAACTGTATATGAATATGCTGGAAAATACTATTGACCTTCTAATCATCGAAATCGTCGAAACGAATCCTAATGAATTCGATACTGATATTCTATTCCAGCAAAATGGTGCTCCACCATACTACTACAGACAAGTTAGGAATCATTTAGATAACAATTTCCCCGTCGAGGTCCTGTGGAATGGCCAGCTCGCTCGCCAGATTTGATACCTTTAGACTTTTTTTATGGGGCTACTTGAAGCAAAAGGTGTACGAAACTGAACCTGCTTCAATATTGGCTTTACGGCTGAGAATAACAAATATTTGTAGAAATATCGCTGTTACTATGTTTGAAAATGTTCGACGCGAGATTACGGACCGGCTGTTATTGTTTCAAGAAGTTCAAGGCAACCATTTCCAGCATCTTATCAAATTATCAAGTTAAATCTCAATGTATTCGGGTAATTATTAATTGTACCAGCATTTTGTAGAAGGTAAAGGTATTGACTATATATTCAAGGGGTAATAAACCACTCATCAGGAGCTTCAAAATGTGTGCCACAAGACCCCGTTTTCATATAAGTTTTTTTCCAAGATGGCGCCAAGCGGCCATCTTGACATTTCAATCAGTCAATTTTACTCTAAAATATGGTATCCACGCATCAATTTCATTACCTCAAGTTTTAATTTTTTGAATTGATCTGTTCAAAAAATCAAAGGGGGGGGACATTATAGAAAAGCACTGTATAATAGTTATTAGTAACCTACACAGAGTGTCCTAGAGATAAACTGATTTCAGAAATGAGCCTAGCCAGGATTTGGAAAATAGACCTTTCAAGTCAAATCAACCTCATAATGTTTTTCTACAATAAAAAAAACTCCCAAGTAGAAGAGGCAGTTGTATTTTTCCGGAAGAACCACGAAAAATCGGTGAACATATCCGGAATAAAAATCATATTCCGCTGACCCATTCCTTCGCCAAGGAATGCGGACGTTTTAAATGGGTTCCCTTCCACTGTACGAAATCCAATTAAGTTTTTTAAACCCACGAGCGAAAAAAAGACAAGAATCAGCTGCATTATCCTTGAGAAATGGGCGTAAGCAGTCTATTTCAGATATTAGATGTGCAATCTTCTATGGATATATCCAAGTACCTATAGACTCCGCTATCAGAGTTCATCAGAGTAATAGGGGAACTGCGTCAATCTGAAATATCTTGTGCAGTCGCCTGATCAGCGAGACGGAGTATGAATTGGAATAAGCGAGGTATGTTAAAGAGTTTCCGTCTTAAGTCAGAATGCTTTGAATTCTCCAAAGGCTAGCACGCTGCTCTCCTAAGCAAAACTCTGTCCAAACGAAAACGTGATTCACAAACAGTGCTTTTCAAAAAGCCCGCCCAACTTATTTCTTAAATGGCTCAAGTTAAGCCAGCTGTGACAAAATAACTTGTTTTTGAATAGAAGCTCCATATCAGTAATTCATAATCCTAGAGTATAAATATTGTCTATTTCAAAATGGTGAACAGGTGAGCTGTCAAAGTTAAGTGCTTTTGTACATTGAATCGCTGATAGCTGAACAGCTAATCATCAAAACGCTATAGTATGTCATATCAATATTCTCGAGTCAAAGTCAAATTATTTGCGCTAGAGAGATTTTCATATGAAGTCGAGAAAAGCAAGATATTAAAAATGGAATGCGAAGGAGATCCAGCTACTGCCCCAAGCAGAACTGATTCCAAAGGCAATGCCGATGATGGAAAAACAGAAAAATTGTTACGACAGAAATCATAGAGAAAGTGGCCCAAATTCAGCAGTTTATGGAGATTATCAAGAACCAAGCTACCCAAATAACCGCACTGCATGACAGAATAGAATAGTTAACCACCCAGGTATCTCTTCTAGTTTCCCAAAATTCTGCTTTACTTCCTAAAAACGACAACACAACTTCCAATAAACGGACGTACGACAATCTGACAGCTACAAATCTTACCTCTACTGACGACGACAGTATCAGCGAAACCGAATTCCTTCCATTAAGACAGAAAAAGAAACGAAACTTAACTGACCAATTCACCCCACTACCATATAAGGTAACTACCAAGCCAACAACTCTCCTGTACCTTCTTCCACAATTCAACCAACCCCACAAGCTAACTTTGCAACTGCTTTGCCTTCATCACCCCGTACTGCTGCCAGTGAGACATCAGGGCAGCCGCGCCAAGCGCGAGTTACACCGATTGTCCTGCGGGACGCTGCGAGGTGGCGGCTACTAAGCTACAAATTAAGTCTGGGCTTTAAAGTAGAGCGAGCGGTCAGCAGCAGTCATGTGAAAGGAATATACATGTCATAATAAGAGGTAACACCGCGTCATCTAATGAAAAGGTCAAGGAGGAGTTGGAGCAGAAGGGCTACTCCCTTCACCACATAATTCGCCTGTAGAGTAACGGCGGCATTCCTATGCCTCTGATGGTGGTGATACTGCCTAAGACTGACAAACGCAGCAGATTTTTAACGAACATGAGCTGCTGAGTCTGGCAATCAGAGTCGAGGTTCAAAAGGACATTCGACTTATTGGGCAGTTTCATTGCTGCCAGAGTTATGGACACGCACGGTGCAGTACGACTAAGTGTCTGAAATGTGCCCAGGACTTACATGACACATTTGTGCCCTCATCCAGGACAGCAGGCGTGCAAATGTACACACTGGTATTGGGGCATCCAGCAAACAGTCCGACCTGTGGGTTTACTCCAAGAAGGAACCTGCAGGTCAGGCGAGGGGGAGTAAATCTTGTGCGGAAGCTGCTAGCAAACCACCCCTGCCTGCGCCTGCTGTTCCAAACTCCTCTCTTACCTCTCAGAATGTGGACTTAGCAACAGCTTTGAGGTGTTTTCAACAAATAATTAGTACCCTGATTAGCGCCAGGAAAAACATCCCCAGCCACTAAATGGCTAGGTATAATAGTAGACAGCCTGCATATATCAAAATTCTATTTTGGAATTGTTTGGTATGAGGTACATTCCCAAAAAACGGAAATTTCATCAAGCTCTTTTGGTCGAAAGTGTAGACGTAGCCGAGTTGCTGGAATTATGATGTTATCCAGACTGAATGGACAAGGCGAAGGTTTGGCAGTGCTTGTCAAACGTGGTATTGACTAGTACAGAAGCACAAACGCTGAAATGTTAAGCATTGAAGCAGCGTCTGTGGTGGTCAATATGGCGGCAGGCGTTCCATTGAAGATCACTTCGGTGTATATTAGGTTTGGTGCCAGGCTGCGAGAAGAGGATCTGGAAGACCTTTTGGACTGCTCGGGTCCACTTCTTGTGGTAGGGGACTTCAGCAGCAAACATCGAGCATGGCATTCCAGGTTGAATTCCACAGTGTACTGAGGACCCGATGCACGATCCGTTCAGTCACCTTCAGGCACCTGATGTCATTGACTTCGCCATACCCAGAAACTGTCGATACAGTATCACTTCTCGAATCATGTATGACATCTCAAGCGATCACCTTCCTGTCTTGATGGAGGTGGGTAACGAGCAAACCTTAGAGGAGGGAACCCCTCCAAGATTGATTTGGAGCTGTACAAATCGCTCCTAAGAGAGTTTCCCAATATCCCGATCACAGATGATGAGAACAAAATAGATGCTGCTCATACGGAGTAGACAGGGAGTGTCACCCAGAAGACATCCGTAGAGCCATGAAGTAAGTAACGCTCTTCATGAGTTCCGTAACGAGCAATGGGGCGATTTTTTAGCCGGAATCCTCGATTCGAGTACTCCTCTTTGGAAGGTTGCGAAATCGCTCAGAAATGGCAAACGGGAAGAACTACCGCATATCCACGGTCCTGGGGGCATGGTCTTAAGGACTGAGGAAAAAGTGGAAGTTTTTGCTGATGCTATGAAACGACAGTTCTCACCAAACTAGATCTAGATAATGACCCCGACCTTTGATATTTTCCCAGGTTTATGGTCCTATTAGTTTACTGTCAGCGCCATCTAAGGTCGGTGAAAAGGTGATTCTCCGTCATCGTTTCCTTTCTGGCTTCTAAAGCTTCTTAAGTCCTTTCTCGGAGGAAGGAAATTTCGAATCAAAATTAACAACGTACTGTCAACTGTCTATAAGAGCCGGTGTTCCTCAGGGTTCGGTCCTTGGACCAATCCTTTATACCTTGTTCATTCATGACGTCCCTAACCTCAGCAACTGTGAAGTCTATCTCTAAGCTGATGATACTGCATTAGTTTTCCCAGTCCTGTTCTGGTAACCTGGTCCATGACTGGCTGCAATGTGCGCTAGAAGAAGTGTTAGAGTGGGCAGATCGGTAGCTGAACAAAATTAACCATGTAAAAACGCAGGCCATCTATTATACCAAAAAGCGTCGCGGCGCCCCGCCAGCGATCTCAATGGATGTGACTCTGATGCCGTGGGAAAATTCCGTGATATATCTTGGAGTTACACTTGAAAGGGTATGATCTGGTGAAAACACACAGAAACGCTTAAAACTATATTTCAAATTACTTTCCGGCAGCGTTATCCCTTATTAAGTAGATCTTCAAAATTGAGCTTGATTAACAAAATTAGACTTTGCAAAACGATCATCAGATCCATCGTTACATACGCATGTGCAGCTTGGTGCTTTCAAGCAAAGACGCACATGCGAGCTCGCAGGTCCTGCAAAACGACTCTACGAACGATCACCAATGCCCCATGATATGTCTCAAACAAAACCCTATACAGAGATTTCTTATTTAGATGATTACATTAAACATCATAACGATGAACAAGCAGAATCGCATTGCAACCCTTTGTTGCGCGAGTCAATATACACAGTGGCGCAAGTTTGCAAACATTCTAGGCCGCGGCTCACAGTGTGAACAAAATTGAATGTTGCAATTTTTTATAATAGAAAATAATATTTTAACATAAATCCAACCAAATTCTTTTTCGGCATCCAAAATTATTACAGTTATTTTCAACTTCTAACAGTTGTATTTCTCACTCTTTGTTCTTCTTTTTTCATTCTTTTTTTTCTTTCTGCTTTCTAATAATCTTGTCTGGTTTCTGGATGACCAAGCCGACAGAATAGCAAGCTGACTGATGTACTTTGACACAAAGGCAAAGGTCATACTGACCGCCTTGACAGACAATGACGAATAGAAAACCAATATTCTCATCTTGAAAGGGTACATCTAAATATGTAATAAAATAAGAATATTTAGTTGGGAGTCCGTTCCTGATCGCTTTGCCGCATGCAACCAGTGAATCGTGCTCGGATACAATCAAGCAAAAGTAGTGAAATACGCCGTATTAAAATCCAGTGTGTAAGTTATGTACCTGCCAATATTGAAGCCATCATAGACTGTGAGTACCAGCCTTCAATTCTACAATACAACACGACAATCTGCAAATTCCTAGGCCATCGGAATTCCATCCATTGGTTGCGTCTATATAAATCGCGCACCAAAACAAACCGAATTCGGTGGACAGGACCCTATTCAGGGATGCCGCAGGATATAACAACATCAAATTGCCTGATAAAATAATAAAACAGTCATGAATTCGCCAAACACATCACAAAATACTAACTCTGCAAAATCATACTCTGATATATTAAGTCAAAGTTCTACCAAATACCCAAACAAAGAGCAAGCCATCATCTTCAACGCTGTCGATGGACTAAAAATCCAAGATTATCTGCTAAGACTAGGTCCTATAGTAGACCCAAAAAACATCCTTTTCTGCTCCAGAATATCCAATAATCGGATATGTATCTATTTATCCAGCAAGCAACTTGTAGACAAATTCCTTGAAGATCCTGGGGAAATCATCATTAATGGAGAGTCAGTAAAGGCTCGCAGACTTATTACACCATCTGATAGATTAGTAATATCCAACGTATGTCCCACCATTCCACACAAAATCTTGAAAGACATACTAGAGCAAAAAGGCGTAAAACTCATTTCTCCCATATCCTTTCTAAGAATAGGTGCAACTTTACCTGAGTACAGCCATATATTAAGCTTCAGGCGACAGGTATACATAATGCCTGTAGAGCCTAGCATAATTCCAGAAACTGTGGAAATGACCTACGAAAACCTCACCTACCGTATATTCCTCTCACTTGACAGCCAGAAATGCTTCAAATGTAAGCTTTCTGGTCATATTGCATCTCAATGCCCATCGACACAGACAGAAACACCCACACCACAAACATCAGCATCAGAGCAATTCACTGTTGAAAACAACCAACAACCGTCAGTACTAACTACTCCAAACTCCAACATAGCAAGTTCAGCGTCACAAACAACTGCAGCCACAACTTCAAACCAACCCCAATCAAAACCCACCGATATCACAGATTCAGACACACAATCTAGTAACAAACGTGGCCTCTCAGAAATTTTGTCCCCCTCAACTGAGAATCAACTTATGCCTGGAAATTCTGGGGAACCAATTTTCGTTACTCCAAAAAACCAAACTATGAAGAAACCCAAAATAGATATCCAACCATCACACATACCAGAAATTACATTCAAGTCTGTTAAATCTTTTATCGACAACCAAACCCCGCCACTCATACTGAACTCAGACCAATTGAAAAGTCTATTGGAAAACACCCACGGTACAAAAGACATAATATCCGTCGTCAACGACCACACATCTGACATTAAAGGATTAATCGAGATGCTTCTGCTAATATCCACACATCACAGACAAAGCCTTGAAAAACCGCTGTACGAGATTACGAAAAAAAATGGAACGGCATCTTGAAAAAAATCTCAGCGACCAACTCAGTGATACTTCATCTATTGACTCTACTTTTTAAATTCAAGTCAATACTACAATGGAACTTAAATGGATATTATATCCATTTAAATATGTTACGAAAATTAATTTCCGATTTCAACCCAGACATTATATGCCTACAAGAGACACACTTCTACGAAACCAAATCGCATACACCAAAACAGTACACTGGATTTTTCAAACACCGTGAAAGAACTACAGCTAGCGGTGGAGTCGCAATATACATAAAATCAGATATATTAGCCAAACCTATAACCCTTACCACAAATCTAGAAGCTGTAGCCATTACCGTCGAATCAGATACAAAGATCAACATATGTAACATATATATACCTCCCAATTATTATTTAGAAGAAAATGAGCTTGAGTCATTACTGCAACAAATACCATCACCACGGATAATATTAGGAGATTTCAATGCTCACAGTCACACATGGAATTCATAAGAAAAAGGCACGCGGGGAAATAT